GAGAATGTGGGGTATATAGTCACATTGTTAAGGTTTGGTGAAAACAGCTACCAAAGGCTGCTTTGTTTTACAAGAAATCCCCCCGAAGGCTTCACTTTGCTTCTTAGATAAAGTTGTGTCTGGTGGAAAGCAAATGTCTAACACCCAAATGTCTAAGATTGGATTTTGAATGTTATAAGAAAAGCAAGTAATCCAATCAGCTTGGGAGCTCTCCGAAGATACTGCCAAAATGTTGATTTGTTTCTCAGGGAAATGAAGCAGTGAATACTTTTTGAAGAAGGGAAGAAGGCTAAGGAGAAGCTACTCTCTAGTGGAAAACTAAGCTGAAAAAAAATGGCAAAAGAGGCAGTTCTTCTCAGCAAAGGAATATATTGCTTTAAACACATCCAGAGTCTATTAGCCAAAAAACAAGAAATGGTACTGGTTGATGTTCAGGAAGAGACTAGATTCCCAGTAAAGACTCCTCTTTCACCTTCTACTCTGTTCATGAATATTGCCCTTCCAGCAGCCCAAGTGCTTCCCTGCCCGACTACCCTGAGGACAGAAGGCAGCAACTTCTCCTCTCCAGTATTGCTTCATGGAGTGTGGGTCGCTAAAGCTATGTGACTAGTCCAGCTTTGGGTATTTTAATGAATCATGAGTGTATAAGTATAAGCCTATGTTGAAAGGGACAAAGGCAGCATGGGCAGTTTTATTTTTGGAGACCTGAAGCAGTAGCTCAAGGTTCACTTCAGTTTGGAATTAAAAAGGCAGGGCAATTGTGGGATCACTCCACAGCTGCAGGGGTCAGCATCCCTGTTTCTGGTTTCATTCAGAGCTCTGGAAGGCTGCAGTTCCTATTTACTTTGTTTATTTAGCAGTAAGCGCACTTCTCCATAGAATGGTTACTTGTCACTGTAACAGTGAGATGTAGTCAGTGAGAACCCTACTGTGTATGGGCAGGTGCCTCATGCCTTCTTATCCTCCCACAGAAGGTCATTCTAGTCCAGTGATTGGTGCTGGTCTAGACTGGACAAGCACCTAGCTGGGGTTATTTGACCCTAGCACTCTTTCCTGCCCAGGGCAGGGGGTTGGACTTGATCTACCAATGTCCCTTCAGACCCTAAAAAAAAAAAATCTATGAAATCGATGATTCTCAACCAGGTTGCTGCAAGATCCTTGTACGGGTGTAGCTGTGCCTGAGCTCTGTGCAAGTAGGTAAAGTGCAGTGCTCACTCTGTGCCCCAGAATCCTGTAGGCAAGGGGCACCATGGCCTCCTCCCAACTGCTGGCAGCCCGTGTACTGGTCACTCTGAGCAGCGTGGTCCACAGTGGCAGGTGGATGTGTGGGCAGGAAGACACACAAATGCAGAGCCATGTTTATCAGCCATGTTTGCCCACACAACTCCTCTCACACTGTCAGGGCAAGCAAGAGGGATCACAGGGGCAGGTGGTTCTGGTTTCCAGCATGCAAGTCCCTGGAGGACCAGCCACAGCAGCACAGCCGGCACCTGCCCCCTCAGGAACAAAGCGGGTAGGGAGGAAGTTCCTTTCCTCCCTCCCAGGTCTCATGTTTTCTGTACCCCTCCCCCTACACCTTCCCTACAATGCCCATGTGCTTTGTGTGCAGCTCGGCACCTCATCCCCACCAGCTGGGTGTCCCCAGGCACTGCTCATTTTGGTCCAAGGCCTGGAGTTTAGGGGGGACCAAGATAACTAAGGGCAGAAACTGGCCCACCAGCTCCCAGGCCCAGCAGTGACCTGGACTCTCATGTAGGGAGTCGAGGTGCTGCACTGGGAGCAAATGTATCCAGGGGCAAGCAGAGCCCCTGGGGTAACTATTATACTTATACTACATTATAATATAGTAAAGCAATTAAGATGTTAATTAATAATATAATTATTATAATATTCAGATTGCATTTATGTTAGTTTTTTAAATGGTGTCACTACATTCTAAAAAACATATGGAGGGGGTGCCCTCAATCCATAAAGGCTGAAAACCACTGCTCTAGTCTTTTCATCTCAACCACTCCTCAGCTCCCTCCAGACCCATGTTGCAGGGACTTTGAAAAGGCAGGGACAGAGGATGGCTTCTGGGATTTATACCGACTATGAATTAAAGTACTAGTTACTGTAGGATAACTAACTGGTCTCTCTCCTTTGAATCTGTTCAACATGGATCCCACTATATGTGAATCACAAGTAGTATCTGTTCTGGGATACTGGGAATTAGGGCTGTGCAAAGCTTCGGTCGCTGATTCGATTCAGAGGGGATTCAGCCCAATTTGGCAGCTGGATCTCCAAATTGAATCCAGAGACCCATTAATCTCCGTCTCGCTCTGTCCCTGGGAAAGAATAGAGGGATTGTCCCTACAAGTTCAGAGTTTGCTGACACTTCATGCTGAGGCAGTAACAATCAAAAAAGGATGCAATTTAACAATCCAATAGCAGCTCAAATAGTGGCTATAAATGCCAATCCAGCATGTTGTTTCAAATGCACCAGAGAGCCAAAATTTTTGGTACCAAAGCCTCAAAAGAAACCATATTATGCTGGAGTACACTTATAAAGAACCATTTCTACTTGGAGGAACAGGTCTTTGTGCTCTATATGAAGATTTTTTCTGAGGTCAAAAGAACAGTTTTTCCATAGTGACTCAAATCAGCCAACATGCAAGCCAAGATAAGCAACACCTACAGTTCTGGGTGCAAAATCTGGCTAAGTTCTGGGATGATGTGTCTGGGCACATACAGATAGATTGACTGAAGGATGAATGGACATGTGCAAGAGGCTTGACAGGCAAAGCCATCTCAACCAGTTAATGAGCCATTAGGATGGAGGTAACGCTATTTTATCCAACTCTGGGCATCATCCTTTGGACTGAACGAAAGGTGGACAGGATGCCTGGAGAGAACAGGCAATAGGAAGGCCTCTTGTATGGCACTCAGCCTTATGTCCCCCCTAGAACAGAAGTTCAGGCATTGTGTGCTGTTCTTTGTGGCAAAAAGATCTACTGTGGAAACTCCCCAATATTTAAATATTAGCACTATGATTGTTCTCTGCAGTAACCACTTATCGCTGGTAACTAAGGAACTGCTCAAGAAGTCTAGTATGTTGTTACTGGCTCCTGAAAGGCATAAAGTCAATGGAGTTACCCAAGGTGATGGCACCAAGCCTACAGTATAATGGCTTCTTAGCAGAAAAATGATAACCAGGAACATCCATTATGTTGGTACAGCGCATTGTAGATATATTTCAAGATCTGCACCATCAAGCCTTGCAGCATGTACTGGAGCACCCTGAATTTGGATCATTCAAGCCATCCAGGGGATGGGTTCTCAGTGTCTGCAGACAGTCAAGGTGGGCCCCCATAACACACACACAAGCTCAAAGAATAGAACCTTCAGTTGAACTGTTACATCACATCCATTCACACGTTCATCTCTGATGCTCGGCTAGTGACAAAGAGGATACACAAAAGAAGCTGGATAATCATACCCACTAGGTTGTAGTCATCCTCCTCTTCACCCCTCTTTTGATGGGGAAGGATGAACTTGTAGTCTATGCTGTCATGTACCCAGCCTTTCTCTATGAATAAGCCAGGAACCTCATCTGAGAACAGCCAATACCTGTAGGGAGCATATACATACTGGTGAGCAACCACTGAAGAATACAGGATGCAAGAAAAAAAAACAAAAACAAAAAAAAAGTCACACACACGTGTGAAGAGAGAGCAAACATGTACCGGCATTCAGTGGTCAGCAATCTTTTCAGGCTTCAGGCCAGAAAGATAAAGTTAGGGTTAGAAGCAGGTGGGTAATTACTAAGACCAGCAGCTGCTTCTCCCCACTGCAGGGCAGGAAGTTCCCTGCCAAAGCCACATATCCAGATCTAGCCTAGAGGGGCCACAGGCTGCCACCCCCTAGGTTAGACTGCTAACAAAAAATGCATCCTTCAGAAATAGGGTCTCAGTCTATAGCAGAACCAGGACTCACCTCTGCTTTAGCTAACAAAAAGTTTCAGATGCATAGCAATACATCACATACTTGCCCAACATATCTAAAATACTAGAAGAGTCTATTATAAAACTGTACCCTTCTGGGACCTTCAGCAGTGCAGAGGTAGTAAAGGGAAGCAATACAATGAGCCCTTCTACCTGTTGTGATTACGATCAGTGCCTATTGGTGTCCTACGCATCACCAGCTTAGCTTTGGCAATTCCATCTTGGAAAGTCTTCTCAGCTGCAGCTTTGTGTTTCCGGATTCTCTCTTCTTCTGCTTCTTTCTCCATTTTCACTGTTGGAGTAACCACAGATGTATTAGTTGTTTTTACTTATTCATATTTGCCAAGTAATGCGATAACAGTTCTTCTCTCTGTTTTGGTAAATTAATAACAAGAAGATATTGGACAAATTTACTGGTAACTGATGTTAAGAGATCTTCTCAGAACAATTCTCACATACCAGACAACTGTCCAGGAACACAGCCTCTGAAGGATCTCAAACTTTAAAAACTGTAGCCATGCTCACTTCAGCTTCAGAGATTCCCATAACAATGCTTCAGAGATTCCCATAACAATGCAGGAAAACGCCAGAATAGGAGAATGAACTATACGTGTGTTCTGCTATTCCTTGGTATGGCTGTATAATACACACCAGTTTGTAAACCTTTTGTTGCTGTAGTGATCCTGGCTGGAAAGGACAGAGTGTACATGTATACTGTGCCCATGCTGCCACAACTACAGTACTACTGGTACCTGCACCAAGTAGTTTAAAAGCTACTTTACAGATACCCATGCTGATATACCTCAAGATTTCCAGAGGCCTTCCTCAAAAATAAGCAACTGGCAATTGGCAGAGTTTCCAGGCATGGTTGTTCCACACCAACTATACACGTGACAAAAACATACCTTTAAACAACTCATGCTCTCCAGACATGCAGCCACATTAGTGGAACAGTTTAACGAAAAGCAGATGCCTTAGGTACCGTCTCACAACAAAACCCTTGGCACTTGAAGAGCTCTGATATCCTCATGAATGTCAGCAAACAAAAACAAAACAGAGTAAAATGGTGATGTTCCTGGCAGCAGACTGCCTTGGCAGGATTCCTACAGACATCCCCTACAGACCCAGACCTCTCATCTTTTGGTCAGGACAACACACAAACAAAAGTGTTCCCAACTCCTGCCAGGCAGGCAAAGCACTGAGATCAGAATGACACAAGTTTCTCTAATGGGCTCGGGGTTCCTCAGATTCTTCTTCACAGTCTCTCTCTGGCTGCCACTGAAGAAGAAATGCACTCTTGCTACAAGAACTGCACTGAGAAAGAAACTAACTGCTCCATCCCTAAACACAAACCCCATAAACTAAGCCAGATCATAACATATGGCCCAAACCTAATTAAACAGAGTCAAAACCTAAAACATCAAGAAAACAGAATGTTTTCTATTTAAGAAACATTCAAATCTTTCATAGAAAGATGTAATATAAGAAGCTGTGAATGTGCAGTGAATTTTAAAAGAAGAGAAGAGAAGCCCTAAGTTGTAGAACTACCTGTGGCATCCCTCACTACAGCTGATATACCAAGCTAAGAGTGCCAACTGGGCATTTCCATTCCCATTACTTGGAAACAGTATTCACCTTCAACGAGAGTGAAATTTGCGAAGACTTATGAACAGACCATCAGTTTATGCTGAATTTGCAGTGCCGCTACCCAGAACCACCAGGTTCAACATGGCTCCAACACAAGTTTCATTCTTTGACTCCTTGGGAAAGCTGTGAGAAAGGATTATTTTCAAATGTATACCCATTCACTGCAGCCACGAAAAATAAGGGGAGAAAGGTAAGAGGAAGAGATTACTTGAGGAAGAAAAAGTCAGAGAGAGGCAGGACGGGAGGAAAATTTTTCAGGTGCCCATGAGCCTGAGCATAATACAAATGATGAAGTGCTTACTGTGGTTCAGTCCCCAAAAATCCCAGCAATGAAGACAAGATGCTGCACCTCATTAGAGCACTATCCAGGAAACACATTATGGACTTCACCCCAATTCAATTCTATAACACAATAGGGTCAGTAGGTTGTACTAGCTAGCCAACAGGTACCTGGCAGGTGTTTCCAAGTCCTATATCTGACTGATTAGAAAGGGCAGGGGAAAAAAGTCACACAACAAAAAGCACTTTTTTTTTCCCACTTGGGGGTTGAGATTTTCTGTGTTTTCCATCAAAAACTGCCAACTCATTTTTAAGAAGCTTAGTCAGTGAGTGAACTTCATCCTATTAACCCAAGCCAGCAGATAACTGGCTTCAAATCAGCTACACAGTAGCACTCATTTCCCTGTTTTCCACAAAGGATTACAACCAATGTCTAACTGGACCATTCAAGTTAAAATCACAAAGCAACAACCAAACCCATTAGGTAACATCTTTGACATCACCACAATAGTTCAGAACTTTATAAATGGCAAAGATTTTAGTTTATCATCATTATGGGACACCCACGCCCACTACAGGACAGGAAGATCCAGGTGAGGGCGATCCCCTGCCCTCCATCAATGCTGACCGCGTGAAGGAACACCTTGATAGGTTGGATACCTTCAAGTCAGCTGGCCCTGACAACCTACACCCCAGGGTATTCAAGGAGCTGGTGAGCATCATAGCTCAGCCCTTGGCACAGATCTTTGAGAACTCCTGGCGCTTTGGTGTAGTGCCTGAAGACTTGAAGGCGGCCAATGTGGTGCCTATCTTTAAGAAAGGGAGAAAAGTGGATCCGGCAAACTATAGGCCCATCAGCCTGACTTCTATACCAGGGAAGGTCTTAGAAAAGTTTATTAAAGAGGCCATCCTTAATGGACTGGCTGACGCCAACATCCTGAGGGATAGGCAACACGAGTTTGTGGC